AACTTCATCATGATGAAGATTTTATTTTTGTAATTGGTTTCATTTTTAGTTCTACTTCCTGTCCGTTTCCCCTGTGTTGATTATCTGCCCCGTATTTCATGTATTTCACCCGTGTCCCTATTTGTACCTGTGCTCCTCTACACCTTGTTAGTCCATTGTCCATGTCTGTTCTGTTCCGTCCTGTTTCTGGTTCATTTTGATTTTTGAGTTTTGTTTTTACCTTCATCTTCATTATTTAAATCCTTCTTTTTTTTTCTATGCATTCCCTGATTTTTGGGGTTTTCCTTCATTTCATTCCGTGACAGAATAAGCAAAAATTAAGCACACAATCTATGACTTTAGCACAATAAACAAGTACACAATCTCTACCTTAGGCATGATAAGAAGCAAGTGCAAAATACTCCATAATCTAGTGCAAAAATAAGCAGTTGTGTGTTTGCATCTGTGCGTGTTAGCAGCGGTTTGGGACACATGTGTTTCTTTACTATACACATTCTGACATTATTTTAAGATATTGTCGACAGTGTAGAAAAGGATCGGCAGGCAAAGCTCTATGACACAGACCCTGATCCAAAGTAGACAAAACTCAACAAGGCCAAGAGCCAATGGTCCCACTGTGTCGCCATCTGTGGGCCCTGCTTTCGAACGCTCCACTTCCATCTGCACTTATATTTTTTCCGTATCAGTCATGCCTCTGTGTGTCATATACTGCACGAAATGTAATGTGCTAATGAGGCTGCTTTAAATGTAGCGGTGATGGGGAGGATGCGGCGCTCGGTGTGCTCAGTGGAGCTGGGTCATTGTGTAACGCTGTGATGCAATCCCGTCCACAAGTACACACACACACACGCACGCCTGCACGCACACACACACAGACACACACACAGAAAAACACACAGATGAGCGGGAAAGTGTGTCAGCTATTTACATGCTCTTTATTGTTCTTCAGTCATGTATGCTGCCCGCTGCCACGCTCACTCGTTGCATTAAAAACCAACACGACATTAAGCCTTTGAAGAAAACAATGGATTTTTGTTTATTTTTTTATAAGACGTAGGAGCACTAATAACATAAGTAGTTTTTGAGCCCCTACTTTTAAAATTATAGGCCTCTACAAAATGGTTGAGATGCAGCTTGACCCTAACCCCTAATCTTAACCCTAAACCCTAAGTGCCTAAAACCAAGTGATAGAGATGCCCCAATGAGGTAGATTTCAGTTCCAAGCTTCAAGTAGATAAAGAGACTCAAACAGTGATCCTTCAGCAGACCATGAAAGAGTTAAGGCAGCGGCTGTAACGTTATGTTTTACTTCTGCATCTACTTCATGGATCTATAATAATAACTGGATAGGGTATTACAAGCTTACAGCTGTCCCACCCATGGGCACAGGGGGCGCTGTGGTACTGCAGACTAAAATCATGTGGGCCACCCAGAAAAAAGTCCCATAGAACTCAATATAAACTAAAACAGTTCGACCTCAGCTGACAGAGAACCTACAGCTTTCATATAGATCGGATTTTGTGGAAATTTTAGTGTCTCTTGTCATCCTGAACTTTTTTCTTCTTAAATCCTTTGGCTTTCTTTAATTCCACAAATTTACATTAGGCATGAAAAAAAGTAGACGTTTTACAATTTATAGCTGAGAAAATGGCTTTCACTTGTTTGCAGTAATCTTATTGGTAATAGCACAGTTCTTTCTATTTCCAAGAAAAGGCCAAACCTCTGACAGAGGATCTTCCGGGTTATAGTCGGGTTCAGATGAATCACATGGCGCTGTGTCCTGAGGGAGATGTTGTCACACTGCGCTCCTTTCATAAACAAAACGTCCGCTTTTGTGTCATTTCCAGGTCTCATTCTGTGGCTCTGTGTTTGCTCCAGTATCTCTGCTGTTCACAGTAACATGTTCACCATTGTGTTTCTCTTCCTCCTATGGAAATATGTTAAGGTTTTAGGGATTTGATTTTTTTTCTGCTTTAGGTTTAGTAGCAGAAGTAATTTCTATGTAAAAAACCAGTCCCTTATATTTTGTGCATCTCCTTGTGTCTCTGCTGTTCACATAAACATGAAACCTGTACTTATTATTCTAACTATTCAATAGGTCATTAAAGCTGGGGTTGCTAACTTACAAACCACAACAAAATCAACCACTGGACTAAAATCCAGCCAATGAGTTTTTCACTCTCAAACCATTTACATACATGTGTTTTTTTTTTATGGATCTATAATAATAACTGGATAGGGTATGACTAGCTTATAGCTGTCCCACCCACGGGCACAGGGGGCGCCCGTGGTAAAGCAGACTATATTCACGTGGGCCACCCAGAACTTATCCCCATAGAACTCAATGTAAATTAAAACAGCTCGACCTCAGCTGACAGAGAACCTACAGCTTTCATAAAGATCGGATTTTGTGGGGATTTTAGTGTCCCTTGTCATCCTGAACTTTTTTTCTTCTTAAATCCTTCAGTTTTCTTTAAATCCACACTTTACTGCCACAAACTTTGACGTTTCCTTCCCGCTCTGACTCTGCTCTACCACTGCTAATATCAGCAGCTCTGATTGGTCAAAGCGCATCATGGGAGCTCGTCCACTGCGCAGAACCGGGAGGACCAGACGATGCCCAAATATAGCCAAGTTCCTCTGATATGTCAGCGCCCGTGAAGTCCCATGCGCTACTGAGCACAAGCCAATCATTTGAACAGGGCGCCATCTTGGATCACTGGGGCTAGTTTTTTTGGCCTCTGTCACATCAAAATGCCAGCTCAGAGAAAGACAGAACTACCATCACCCGACCAAATAAGCTCTCAGCCGAAACAGTCAAATAGTGACTCACAGGTCTCTCTCCTAGAAATTTGCAAAACATCAAGTAGTTGTAGTCATTTAATTCAAAACAAAACAATAAAACAAGCTACACGACAGACAAGATGTGTTTATCAGATGTGATTTATGTTTATGTGAACAGCAGAGATGCATGAGTGGCACAAAATCTTTGACTTGATTATTTAGATAGTTAGATAGATAAAGGAGATAGTCATGCTTCCAGTAGCAGCAGAAACACATCCATCCATACAAAAACAAAACAAATAAATACATAATTCTAAAAAGCAACTAACAATAGTAATAACATGCAACAGCGGCAGAGGTAGTGTAGCCGCTTATTTTTATTTTTGTTATTGTTTTGAGTCCATCATGGTTCAGCTGCTGTCGGACACACGCTTAGTAGAAGGTTAAATGAGCCTCGACATGGAAGCTAGCTGTTCATGTTTTCCTCCTCAGAGTTATTTCCCAGAATGCTTTGTCCATATCGAGTCCACACACAGGTCTGTGGAAACACCTCTTCACTAAATCCTGTTGTGTCCCGTTAAAACACTTGTGTATCTTTGTTTCGCTGCTTTTTCTGTGTTATATGACAACGGGAAAACCTGAGGCTTATACTCAAGTGAGGCCTATATGTGGACTATGGACTTTCTCTTCAAATGCAGCTGATGCGGTTTATAAACAGGCGCAGAAATAGCCCAGGAAGTGTTATAATATATGTTTAAATGCACTGCCTTCTGTTATTATTTGATATTGATTAGTAAAGGCCAATCCATGTGTGTTTTTCTTTTCATTTTTACTGAGTTTATTGTGGAGAGAAGCCCATGTCTTGTGGTCAGGATCAGGGCAGATGTTATTTGTCTGATTCAGTTCAGTTTTGCCTGAAAAAGCAGGAGAAGTTCAGACATGTTAGACACACACAAATCTTTGGAGACCAACACTTTACATAATGCACATATGGCCTCGTTCTGATCCAGCCGAGGAGACGGCGTCAGGAATCCCTGATCTAGTTTTTCCATAGAATTGCATTTTGTTGAAGTGAAAAATGTCTTAAAATAATAATTTGTTCACACATTATGTCTGTGGATTCTTCACAGTAATCTACTCTCTGCATCGACCAGAGATTTTGTACTTAATCTAACCATTCCATACTACAATAGCGCATTAAAGCTGGGGTACTTAACTCGCAAACCACAGCCAAGTCAACAACTGGACTAAAATCTGTCTAACGAGTTTCTCACTCTAAAAATATGTTCATGTGTTTTTTCAGTTCTCCAAACAGTCAAATAGTGACTCATACGTCACCATTTCACAAGTATGCAAAACATCAATTCTTTTCTTAAAGGTAAAGGTGCACTTTATTAATCCCTGTAGGGCAATTCAATCCTCCGCATTTGACCCATCCTGATGCCGCAAAGGCTTACGTCAGGAGCAGTGGTCGCCGTAGTAACAGCGCCCGGGAACCCATCTCCAGAAGATGATGCTTGGCTTGGTCAGGACTACCGGTGCTGGAGGATTTAACCATGTGAGCATGTTTTTAGTGGTAGGGGAAACCGGAGTACCTGGAAGAAACCTACGTAGGCACGGGGAGAACATGCAAACTCCACTCAGAAAGACCCGGTTCCAACCGGGATTCCAACCCAGTACCTTCTTGCTGAGAGAGGAGAGTGCTATCGACTCAGCAACCGTGCCGTCTCTTATAAGATGAAGATAAAATATTGTGGCCTGATTTGTTCAAGAAAAAAAATTAGGATTATTTTTTTATCGGGCGAAAGTAGGTGCTTCAGCTTTGAGAGTATTCATCAATCCATGTGAAATAGTTTGTGTGATTTTAGTAGTTTTGTATCAGCTCATGTCAGTAAACAGACGTATTAACTTACAGTGACTTTTCAAAATATGAAACGAGAGAGAAATATTAGAATGCAAGCCCCAGTTTGACCCACAAAATGAAACATTTTTTGCGGTGTACCTAATTAGTATGCGGTTGTTAATGAAAAGAGAGAGAAACTTTTATTTTTGAGTTCTTCCAGACAGAACAAAAGAATGTGTTCAAGCAACTAATACCTATTTTTTATTTTATTTTTTTGCTGTGCGTATAAAAAGACGTAAAACACATGTTATTTGAGACTATTGTTGAGTAAAAATTCACATGTAGATAATTCTATGTGCTCTCACTTCTACAGGAGTTCGCCGTTTTGACCAAGGAGCTGAACGTTTGCCGAGAGCAGCTGCTGGAGCGAGAGGAGGAGATCTCTGAGCTGAAGGCCGAGAGGAACAACACACGGGTGAGACGCTCGGCATTATGGGGTTTTTCTACACACCCCTCGTCTCGCACCAGGTCCTTCACACACTGATCTGGGCCTTAACCCTCAGTCTGTCTCATTCTTCTTCTATTCCTTTATTATAGACATTTCAGACGCCGACGCTTTGTGTGGTTCAGTGAGTTCAATATTTCATTTTAGTGCTTCATTTTTTTAAATGTTTTTTTTATTTTTCATCCCTTTAAAGAAGCTATACCCGATTTTTTTTTTTTAAGCAGTTCATAAAAAGGCTTATTACTACGTACAAGTTGTATTATAATCCGTAATTTAATTGAAAACTTGAGCTCATTGATTCAGCTGTGTATGAATTCAGGCCGTAAAAAGTGCTGAGTAGAGACTTTAGCGTGACGCCTGCTCTCCTCCAATCACAGAACACTGCTAAACACTGTAGCATGTTAGCATAAGTGGCTATAAAAATTATCAAAGAAGAAATCAAGCCCGGGTGAACATAGCTAGCTTACATCGGATCCTCTGGAGAGACTTGTCTGTGGGAGAGACCTGCGGGACAGGCTCGGACTATCTATGCTCGGACTATCTATGCTCGGACTATCTATGCTCGGACTATCTATGCTCGGACTATCTATGCTCGGACTATCTATGCTCGGACTATCTATGCTCGGACTATCTATGCTCGGACTACATTCGGACGTGGAACTAGCGATAATCTTTCAGTTATATATTTTGTTAGCAGTGCGTGGCTTTTGTACCATTTAATCAGTTATTGCTGTACAGCTTAAGTTGCGCTAATGCTAATGTTAGCATACGTATCAGATCGCAAATAAAACTAGATGGCTCCGTGAGATGAGAGTGTAAGGGAAATGAGAAGCCTGTGAGCGAGTTGGGGGCGGTGCTAAACATTCAAACCTTGCAGAAACGGGTATAGCTCCCTTGACTGTGCATCACGAGATGACTCTTTTATGAGCAATAATACTAACACTATTTCCGGCGAGGTAAATGCTCCAAAAGGCCCCAGACTCTGAGGGGTTAGCTGCACATTTTACCTTCAGGTTTACGTAACAAAATGTACATTGCTTTGTTTATGGAGATAGCATTAAATTTACTTCTGTGTTTTATTTTAATTTTTGCTGACTGCTGCACAATCCATACAGGGACACACACACTCATAGCTGTTTACTACACATACTTACAACATACTTACAAGCAACATTTAGCAGTTTCACCAAGTCCCGTTTACAGCCTCACAATATTTACAACCTTTTTTTATATTTTATCTGCTTGAAATAGAGTTTGAAGACGCAAAGAAGCCGGGAGTTTTTACTGAACTCACAATGTTTCAAATTGTGTGTTGTTTTAACTACTTTTAGGTGATGGGAAAGGTGAGTCTGTTGCTTATACGGATTCATTTAGTGTTGGAATATTTTGACGAGAGGTTTGCGATTTAATAATGTGGAGTTTACCCCGGAGGATTCACAGATTAGCTAAATCGTATTTGCATCTGTTAAAAATCAAAAATCAAAGAGCAAACCCCAAATCTCCATAGTGTTAGCCTCAATGCTAGAGGAAGCCGATTTTATCATAAGCTAGGAGGAGCCATTGTCCTTATATGGGCATTGGATCCGACTGCGTTAGCTTCTGGCTGTAACAGGGGCAGACCATGGATGTATTTGATTATCAGGGATGACGTGTTGCTATGACGGTTGCTATGGCAAGCTGGAGTTTCCCCATGAATGAAAGCATCTGTCGATCTATAAATGTGCCATGTCTGGATTTACAAAGACAATATCACAATGTAAACTCCAGGATCAAAGAGAGTCAATATTCTTTTAACCTAAGTTGGAGCCAAAACTTTACCCATGAGCACTTCCCTATCGCTGTTCAGTGAGCTAGCGGGTTAGCAATGTCCACCTGTATACAGTCTATGCTCCTGCTCTACTGTATATACATCATTTATAACATTTTTCATAACAACAGCAGAATATAGTCTTGTGTTCTTTGTCTATTTTTTCACAGATTTTCATACGTCATCGTAACCTAATTTTAGTTTCTATCCTTTACCTGTTTGTTCGAAAAATGTGAAAAACTAATTAGTATAGTTGAGTATATAGTAGTAATGTAGTAGTAGTAATAGTGTGGGCAAACGAGGACTGTTTCTTTAGTATCAAACTAATCCTTGCAGATAATTACAGCTCAAATCCGAGACCGGTACAGAATCTAAATTAAATGAATAATATGGAAAGTGAGTCATTGTGAGTCAAAATATAAACGATATGTGGAGCTGAAACAATAAACAGTAAGCTGTATTAATTCAGACTTAGTGCTAAAGTGCATCTTTCTACAAATAAATCAAAGCAGGGGAAAAATTCAGGCCTAGGACCATAAAACACATTTATGATTTTCAGACTTAAAGAACAAAATAAAAATTTAATCGGCTGCTATTTGAACCAGGACTTGCACCCTCAAAATCTGTTATTGGTCCCACAGTGGGGAACTTTCAGAGTACAAGGTAAATTACTACAGCTCTATACTAAACTCTAGACTAAATAAAATAACATAAAATGAATTCTCTAGTTTTAGCATAATAAGGAAGCAGTCTATAATCTATAATAAGAAGCAAGTGAGTACAAAATCTCTGACTTTTGCACAATAAAGAAGCCAGTGTTTTCTAGTGCAGAATATATAGCTGTATTATTGTGTGCAGTTGTTGCTGGAGCACCTGGAGTGTCTTGTGTCCCGTCATGAGCGCAGTCTGAGGATGACTGTGGTGAAGAGGCAGGCGCAGTCTCCAGCAGGGGTCAGCAGCGAGGTGGAAGTCCTGAAGGCCCTCAAGTCTCTGTTCGAGCACCACAAGGCCCTGGACGAAAAGGTGCGACTCTCGGAAAAAAAAAAAAATACGACGGCACGTGGTCATGAGCGGCGTGTAAAAAAATCTGCAAATATATTCCACGGTTTGCTCTGTTTGTGCAGGTGCGAGAGCGGCTGCGTGTGGCCCTGGAGAGAGTGTCCATGTTAGAAGAGCAACTCGCAGCATCTTCTCAAGAGGTGACCGCCTTCTGATGGTTTTACAGCAGGGGTCTCCAACGTACAGCGCAAAGTAGCTCCCCTCAGGATAGTTTTAATTGATAGATATATACAGTAGATAGATACTTTGTTGATTCCCGTATAGGAGAACTTCAGGTGTCCAGTAGCAGCAGAAACACATCCATCCACACAAAAGACAATGCTAAAAGTAGCTAACAATAGTATCAAAATGCAACTTCGGTCACAGCAGCAGAGGTTGAAGCGGGATGATTTTAGGCATATGCTCAGAACGATTGCGAATGCCTTTAGCTCTGTTCACTGATACATCCTGTGTCACGGGTTTAAAACACATTTTTATTATAGAATAGTTTGACAGTCAAGTAAAGTCAAAAAATGGCTTTACCATGCTTGACAGTGGCACAGTAGTTCACAGCAAGAAGGTCCTGGGTTCAGTTTCACCTCCAGGCCTTTTCTGTGTGGAGTTTGCATGTTCTCCCCGTGTCTGCTCCGGGTTCCCTCTGGGTGCTCCGGTTTCTCCTACCACATACAACATGTGCAATAGGTCTGGCCAGCACCTCCTGAATGGCGACCCCGCTCCCATCTCTGTGTGGAGTGGGAGATAAAATGCCCAAAAAAGCGTTGTGACTCTGGTCTGTGAGAGGCGCTATATAAATAAAGATGACTTACTACTTGAAATAAGTCCAGGGTTGTTCCATTTGAATATGTTGCATTAAGAACGTCAAAACATATTCAATCCAAGACACAAACTACTTTAGTCATTGTCAAACACCATCATAGCGACATTGCTACTGCCTAAAACAGACGTGTCCAAACTTACGACCGGCAGCTAAAAATGGCCCGTAGTGTCTTTTTTAGTGGATAGCACTCTCGCTTCTCAGCAAGAAGGTCCTGGGTTCGAATCCTGGTTGGAACAGGGCCTTTCTGAGTGGAGTTTGCATGTTCTCCCCGTGTCTGCATAGGTTCCTCTGCATACTCCGGTTTCCCCTACCATTAAAAACATGCACAATAGGTCTGGCATGCGCCTCCTGTACTGGCTCCGATGGGATCTCTGTGTGTGTGAGAAACAAATGCCCATAATTGTAAACCACTTTGTGACTCTGGTCTGTGAAAGGCACTAAATAAAGATTACTTACTTTCACGGTGTCATCCATCCAACTTCATCTCCTCCGATGCAGTCCTGCTGCGCCTCATTGAAAAGCTCAGAACCTCTGGAATCCAGCCTTTAACTTTATGCATCAATGTGGACATATCACACCCTATTTCAATGGCTTGTTCATTAAAGCAGCCCTCGCACTCAAATGTTTGGACACCCCTGGTCTAACAGAAAAGCTCGCTGCCACTTTTGGGTTGGAGATCCCTGTTTTATTCAGATTAAATCAATTTGTTTACAGTGAATGTGTTCTAATCACTGTGCTCTGTTGTGTTTTGCAGGTAAACTCTTTAAGAGACCAAATTAAAAGGCGTCAACAAGGGGTGGACGTCGGGAAAGATGTAAGGGAGGGCTCCATGCGTGTTGGCTCCAGTTGTCTGTGCGTTGTGTTAGCGTCCGCAGTCAGTAGAGCTTAGATGTTTGGGTATCATGTGTCCGTGTGCTTCTACATATGATCACGTTTCACATTGAAGCTAAACAAGTTGGAACTCTCTTCATCACTTGCGTTTCATTGTGTGTTGTCGTCACTTCAGCGCCTTCCCAACGGCCCCTCCTCCAACCTGGAGGACGGAGAGCTGGAGCGACAGAGAGAGGGGGAGATAGAGAGGCAGAGAGCGGATCTGTCCCAACTCCGCGAGAGGCTGGCCCTAATGTGCCGACAGGTGAGGCCCCATTTTCCCAACGGTTTTTTATTTGGTTTCGTTTATTAAGATCCCCATTGGCGACTGAGCTGCAATCGCTCATCTTCCTGGGATTTCCTCAAAATCGTTAAATGCTTTTATACATTCATTTTTAAACATACATCCTCATCATACATACTGTATACACGTACAGAATTGAATGGGCTCTATGCACGCACCACTTCCGCGTTTTAGTTATAACGGCACTTGACCTCCGGTGCGCGGGGATCGGCTTGAGTTTCACAGGAGTTCAGCAGATGTTTTCACAAGTTTCCTAAATAATGCTCAAACAGGAATTAAACTGTGAGGATACTGGCCATTTTTGGGACACAGCAGTGCTTATGGATTGTGCTGTCATTGTGATTGTATAAAGTTAACTAATCTCTCTCAGTGGCCACAGTCAATGCTACAGTATTCCTCAGAGAGAAAGCACATCCACACTTTTGGGTCAGTCTCACAGCTGAATGTTTCAATCTAATTACTAAAAAACGTCAATAGAACTCGCCACAAAGCCATAGCGATAGCACAGACGGGAAGTAAACGGGCTGTTCTTTGTTTAAAGGAAATGACGTCACGCCTCCCCGTGCATACAGCCCATTGGAAATTGTGAACATTTGTAAAAAAGGAGGAAAAACTAATAAAAAAAACAAATGTCGCAGAATGATCTCAGCGGCTTCAGTCCTTTTTAGTTTAGTTCCAACAAAAGCATACACACCCACACATGTGTACATACTCGTATACACATACATATACACATTCATTCAGCATGTACGTAAGCAGCGAGGACAGGGGCGGGGCAGCAACACGGTCATACAGGGGCAACACTGAGACCAACGTATGCCACTGTAAAATGAGCTTTTGTTGTTATAATGTTGATGATTATGGCTTTTTTTTGTAGCATATTTGGAATTATCAAAATATTCAAATTTTCTTAACAATAGTGTTGATTTGCCAACACAGAATCGATCAGTTCAAACACAAGAAATGCAGTGAGAAAAAACACCATTGGTCCATAAGGGGAAGATGACGATTGTCCATAAATGTTAGTAGGAGAAGTCTTATTTTGTTTTTTTTGTTTTGTTTTTTAAAGCTGTGAGACGAACATTGACAATATAAATAATATCTCACCTGTGCTTACTTTGAAAGCTGAACTACAGAAGTAAATGGTATTTTAAACATATTCTAATTGATTTTCACCTGCTCATGTTTTTGATTCTGGACTTTCTCTTCCCTCTTGTGGCCAGTTACGGTACTACAACCATCATTACAATTCAAGAACCGCACTGGGGGGAGTATATATTTGGATATTACAGATACTGGCAAAGCTTTGCGGTGGGATCTATCTCTTGCATCTGTCTGTTCCTTGCACATCTGTGTTTACTCTGAGACTCACGCTCAGTCACTGTTGTCCTGTGTCCGTCTGCGGCGTCCAATCAGGTCGGAGAAATAGAGGAGCAGCGTGCAGCCGCCAGGAGAGAAGTGACAAAGACAGAGGAGGCCAATCAGAAACTGCAACGAGAAGTCAAGGAGGTCTGTCACGCCGATTCATCTTTACACCGCCAACCGCCAGCACGTTAGCATCCATCACATGCACTCTCCCCCTCAGATGGAGCTTTTCCTTCATTTGGTCCAAATCAAAATGTTTGATAAAGGTGTAAAAGTTGTGCATGGACTATATAGGTACGATATGTAAGAGCGAGGCACAACGCTTCAGCTTTTTGTGACATTGGTTTGTGGATTACGCAATATATTTACAGATTATTTACTGACTTCATTCAAATATGATTCAATGTATTCATGTATGGTTCTAAATCACAACAGTAGCTATCTCGGAGGATTTTACAAAACTTTGATTCGCCAACGTGTTAAGACAAAAAATTATAATAATGTTAAAACGATAGCTTTCACAAGAACTAGCAAATATGTTTTGGAAAAATAAATTGGGCCCTCCGCAATCATAGAAGGTACTCCACAATATAATGAGATCCCAAAGTGGATCCGCGGGAAAAAAGAGAAACAAGAAATGGCCCACACCTGATTTAAAGGTACAAGCACACAATAAAAAAGTGTACATTATTTACAACAACAACAGTGGTTCAAGAACACTGATAGTCAAAACCGTTGGATGAATGAAGGAAAACACTTAATTGATTGCAAAAAAATGATAAAATATGAGGTAATAATTGCTTGAATTGAGAGTATTTTTCATCTTAATCTGAGAATATTCTGACTGCGTTTAAACAAGATTATCCTATGAGACAAAACCATTTTGTCTTAATTCAAGAACTGTCCAATTTAGATTAAGATGATGTATAAATTTAGCAATTTCTGACACGTTTTTCATATATTTTTGCAGTGTTCCTACCTTCTCTTTTTGATATAAGATTTTGGCTCAAAAACAAAATTAGTCTTTTCCAAAGCCATGTCTGCGGCTTGTTTACAGTTTGCCGCGAAAACCTGCGCTGAGAGAGAAAACCCCCTCACAGGCGAGAGAGACGGGGGGGAGGTGGGGGGTGGGGGGTGCGAACAGCCTGCATGCCCTCATCCTTACGTTGTCATGGAAACACGTGCTGCTCCGACGTGCAGGGTTGTTGTTGTATGAAATCTGCGACACTACATAACACTACATACATAATCTGAGATCCTACATAACACCCTTTAATAATAACATAGCAATACAATAATCTACAAACACAAGTTACATGTCGCTAAATAGACAATGTTGTGTGTTGTTCCAGGCGCTGTGCCAAAGAGAAGACATGGAGGAGAGGATCACAACACTGGAACGCAGGTGCTTTCTCCGTTTCATGGTTCTGTTCTTGTATATATAGCATTAACTTTGAGATTCTATGAGTTGGTTCATATTTTTCACTGTTAGAGGACGATGAGCCTCAAATCTGTTTTTTTTTTTGTATTCCCGTACACCCCTGTTATAGACACAGGGGAATGTGTCTGTCCAGGAAGCAGCACAAAGTTAGAATTTAAATCAGAAGTTAAAAGATCTATTGCAGGATTTTCCCCAAATTTTAGGAAAGAACCGCCCTCTCCACTTTGTGAACAAAACTCTCTGGTCTTATTGGACGAGCACGTATCACCACAATGATTGACAATTAGGAGAACCAATAGTCTTGATGATCCACCAGGAAGTAAAAAAAAACCTCCTATATACCTTTAAATCAATCCCTTCAAAGTAATAGTTTTGACAAATTAAACATTATTTATTGCAGAAATTGACAGTACCCAAAAAGGTTGAACCGCTTACAATTTTTTATTTTTTTTTATGATTAAAGCAACACTTTTTACAGTGTGTTCACTTCTGTAAATCCATGAATAATGTGAAACAGACTCATTACATTATATTCTGTTCTGTTTATTGCCATTTATTGAACATTTTTCATACATTTGTGAATCAAAAAACATTAGAGGTTCAAGAATGTATTTGCCATTTGCAGTAAAACCACATTGGAATAACTGTGCAAGACTACCCCAGTGTGCACCAAACAGAGGACAGCACACACCACACCTCTTGCCACATATATATGCATTTATTTGTCAGTATGTCAGCAGAATGTTTATAAAACCTTATCTCTCTCCTTATTTTAAGTCAAACATTAAAGTGTATTGTCAAAAAAGAGATTTCATAATTACTGCGGTATCAAATTTGACATAGAGTTTTATTTCTAGTTTTGAACTCGATATTGTGACAACACTATCACATATGAACGTTACTGACTTGCTCGACCCGCTCCAGAGGAATCTTGTCTGTGTCTTCTGATGCAACACCAAAATTTACCCACTGTGGGACAAATAAAGGATCTCTTAATCTTAATCTAATCTTAATCTTAATCTTAACAAGTTTCTTTTTGTTTGAAGTTCTGTCGCAAACGAGAGTGTGTGAAACTGTGCAGGTACCTGAGCGCCCAGAGGGAGGCCACTTCTCTCCACGACATCAAAGACAAACTGGAGAACGAGCTGGCCAGTAAAGAGTCTCTGCACAGACAGGTACGGGACGGTGTGAAGAACAGGTATTTAGCAGCGGGGGCGGGTCCTTTGCCGGTGGTGGTGTACCCGGAAACAGAATTATCCAATGACTCCTTATGGTGCCTTTTTTCCTCTCCAAAACGGGAGGAACCAGACTTATCCAAAAGTCGCTCTTGGCTCAAAGTTCCAGATTTGTTTCAATGTCTATATATTTGACCATTTCTTAAAGGTACTCTGTGCAATTTTTACAGTTGCTCCAAATGAAAAAAACATGTTCACTAATAACAAATGTGACCTTTTTAAGAATATTTACCTCCATTATGTTTTTGAATAGCTCTCATAGGCTTAGAATCTGACTTAATGTCCATGAGGCCGGAGGACTCTCTGTGTCAAGCACCATCTTGAACTACAGCGGTTGATGAGGGACAAAAAGGAGTTTGAGCGGGAGTTGGGGACCACAAAGACCACATATTGTCCTGTGGAGCCACCGTAGTACCGTCAATTACAATATATGATCTCAAGATGCTAGATGGGAGTAAATAATACACATGGTGCCTTTAACAAAAGTTGCAGTTATTGTTAATTCAAAATACAATAGACAATATGGGCATAATACTTACGTTTAGACTTTTCAGATTATCCAATCCCTCGTTCTGGCTCATTTTTATGACAACGTACAAGTTGTAGAACTAAGGAAGATCTGTATAGCACAATTCTTACACAAGGCAACTCAAAATACTGAACAAATCAAGATAGAGACAGTCAAACAAGGCCTTAAAATCATGTATAATCACAATAAAATAATAATAATAATAATAACCTGGATTTAACAGTGTCAGAGAAGAAGCCTGTCTCACATTTTCAGGAAGACTGTTCCAGATTTTAGCTGCGTGAATCTGAAATGCACCCTCCCCATGTTTACTTCTCACTCTGGGCACCAGCAAGAGGCCAGTCCCTGTGCTCCTCAGAGTCCACAGCAAGAGGCCAGTCCCTGTGCTCCTCAGAGTCCCAGCAAGAGGCCAGTCCCTGTGCTCCTCAGAGTCCCAGCAAGAGGCCAGTCCCTGTGCTCCTCAGAGTCCCAGCAAGAGGCCAGTCCCTGTGCTCCTCAGAGTCCCAGCAAGAGGCCAGTCCCTGTGCTCCTCAGAGTCCCAGCAAGAGGCCAGTCCCTGTGCTCCTCAGAGTCCCAGCAAGAGGCCAGTCCCTGTGCTCCTCAGAGTCCACAGCAAGAGGCCAGTCCCTGTGCTCCTCAGAGTCCACAGCAAGAGGCCAGTCCCTGTGCTCCTCAGAGTCCCAGCAAGAGGCCAGTCCCTGTGCTCCTCAGAGTCCACAGCAAGAGGCCAGTCCCTGTGCTCCTCAGAGTTCACAGCAAGAGGCCAGTCCCTGTGCTCCTCAGAGTCCCAGCAAGAGGCCAGTCCCTGTGCTCCTCAGAGTCCCAGCAAGAGGCCAGTCCCTGTGCTCCTCAGAGTCCACAGCAAGAGGCCAGTCCCTGTGCTCCTCAGAGTCCACAGCAAGAGGCCAGTCCCTGTGCTCCTCAGAGTCCACAGCAAGAGGCCAGTCCCTGTGCTCCTCAGAGTCCCAGCAAGAGGCCAGTCCCTGTGCTCCTCAGAGTCCACAGCAAGAGGCCAGTCCCTGTGCTCCTCAGAGTCCACAGCAAGAGGCCAGTCCCTGTGCTCCTCAGAGTCCCAGCAAGAGGCCAGTCCCTGTGCTCCTCAGAGTCCCAGCAAGAGGCCAGTCCCTGTGCTCCTCAGAGTCCCAGCAAGAGGCCAGTCCCTGTGCTCCTCAGAGTCCCAGCAAGAGGCCAGTCCCTGTGCTCCTCAGAGTCCACAGCAAGAGGCCAGTCCCTGTGCTCCTCAGAGTCCACAGCAAGAGGCCAGTCCCTGTGCTCCTCAGAGTCCCAGCAAGAGGCCAGTCCCTGTGCTCCTCAGAGTCCACAGCAAGAGGCCAGTCCCTGTGCTCCTCAGAGTCCACAGCAAGAGGCCAGTCCCTGTGCTCCTCAGAGTTCACAGCAAGAGGCCAGTCCCTGTGCTCCTCAGAGTCCCAGCAAGAGGCCAGTCCCTGTGCTCCTCAGAGTCCCAGCAAGAGGCCAGTCCCTGTGCTCCTCAGAGTCCACAGCAAGAGGCCAGTCCCTGTGCTCCTCAGAGTCCACAGCAAGAGGCCAGTCCCTGTGCTCCTCAGAGTCCCAGCAAGAGGCCAGTCCCTGTGCTCCTCAGAGTCCCAGCAAGAGGCCAGTCCCTGTGCTCCTCAGAGTCCCAGCAAGAGGCCAGTCCCTGTGCTCCTCAGAGTCCCAGCAAGAGGCCAGTCCCTGTGCTCCTCAGAGTCCACAGCAAGAGGCCAGTCCCTGTGCTCCTCAGAGTCCACAGCAAGAGGCCAGTCCCTGTGCTCCTCAGAGTCCCAGCAAGAGGCCAGTCCCTGTGCTCCTCAGAGTCCACAGCAAGAGGCCAGTCCCTGTGCTCCTCAGAGTCCACAGCAAGAGGCCAGTCCCTGTGCTCCTCAGAGTTCACAGCAAGAGGCCAGTCCCTGTGCTCCTCAGAGTCCCAGCAAGAGGCCAGTCCCTGTGCTCCTCAGAGTCCTCCGTGGCTCTTATGTGTCACTTACTGTATGTACTTTGGTGCGAGGCCATGGAGAGACTTGTACAAAAGCAGAGCTGATTTAAAAGACACAGGGATAACAAGTTACAAAATAAAACTAGAAATAAACCTAAACCTCGTCTTTGTGTGAGCTCAGAGCGAAGAGAAGAACCGACAGCTGCAGGAGCGTCTGGACGAGGCCAAACAGAAGCTGCAGCAGACTCTGCAGAGAGCGGAGACGCTGCCCGAGATCGAGGCGCAGCTCGCCCAGAGAGTGGCGGCTCTCAACAAGGTACAACACAAACTACACACACTACATAAACTACACTTTCCGCATGTGTTCACCACCAACACTTCTGGATCGTTTAAACCAGGCAGAGGAGCGCCATGGCAACTTCGAGGAGCGACTCCGACAAATGGAGGCCCAGCTGGAGGAGAAGAACCAGGAGCTGCAGAGGGTAACGCTGAAGCTTCATCATTAGATTGTGTTGTGTTTGTTCTCGAGTTGACAGTGTTGAATCCATGAGTTCAGGCTCGACAGCGGGAGAAGATGAATGATGAGCACAACAAGCGTCTGTCGGACACTGTGGACAAGCTCCTGTCTGAGTCCAACGAGCGACTGCAGCTGCATCTGAAGGAGAGGATGGCTGCTCTGGAGGAGAAGGTGCTCTTCATCATCCTCATCATCATCATGTGTGTGTGTGTGTGTGTGTGTGTGTGCACTGACAGACAGATGACATCCATGTTTACTTTATGCACAGAATGCACTTTCAGAAGAACTGGCAAACATGAAGAAGATTCAGGATGATCTAATTGCAAATAAGGTACTATTGAGACAGACTTTTATCTATGTGTTTATTGTGATGAATTTGCTGTGATTTCAAACTGATGGGGACAAATAAATATCCTATTGTTGAGGTCTGCACTGACAGACGTGTATCTGCTGCAGGAACAGATCCTCGCTGAATCAGAGCGAATCCAACTGGAGCTGGACCAGCTGAGGGGCCGGCCAGGGTCCACCTACTCCAGGTTTGTCTCAACACGACTGTGTGAGGAACATGTGATCCTGAGGCTCTTGTATCTCAGGGCAGGGCCTGGTTAGTACTGTGATGGGAGACCTCTGGGAACACCAGGTGCAACAGTGGAGGGGCTGTGACTGTATAGTGCCAAATTGTGGGTTACACATCTGTTCAATGAGTGTACTGTGCCGATGGCACATACAAGTAGCTTCGCCTCTATCAGTACTCTATCAGTATCAGATCTACAGTAGTATCTTTACCACCACAGTGAATGGAGTGAATGATTAATGCCATGTTAAAGATTGTTGGGTATCATAAAAAGCCCTATTCTTGTTTCTTCTTACAGGGCTGGCAGTGTGAGCTCTCTTCCATCCACACTTTTCCGAAGGTCTCTTCCCGGCAGCTCCTCGGAGCTCCGGTTCCCTCAGGGAGGGGGATCCCTGCCCGCAGGTTATGGAAATGGAGGAGTTGTGGTCAGGAGGACTGGCCGGGGCCGATGGGGCAGCAGAGATGACAATATTCCAGTAATCTAAGTTTATTCATCATGTTGTCAGTGTTTGAATGTAGAGATGGTTTCTGGAAGCTGTTGTTGTGATGTGTAGTATTTCGACTGGGACGAGAGAGGAATGCCGGCTCCTGGATTTGAAGGTGTGGAGGGCGGCTCTGACGATGAAGACGACAGAGAAACTCTGTTTGGCTCAGAGCTGCTGTCTCCCAGTGGACAGACAGATGTCCACACTCTGGCCATGATGCTTCAGGAGCAGCTGGAGGCCATCAACAAGGAGATCAAGTGGGTCTGCTTCTATTCTACTGAGTTCTGTGTTGGAGATAAAATAACTGAAGTTATCTGCTGCAGACTGATCCAAGAGGAGAAGGAGAGCACAGAGATGAGAGCGGAGGAGATCGAGAGCCGTGTGAGCAGTGTGGCTCTGGACGCTCCTGCTCTGCCCCCTTCGTCTTTGGGAGGAAGGGGCTACATGACCCCCTCCATCACCTCCTCCACCTTAGCTTCTCCTTCACCTCCCAGTTCAGGACACTCCACCCCTCGCTTGCCCCACTCCCCTGCGCGGGAGAATGAACGACAGGTACAGACCTCTTTTTCTTTAGAGATGATTAAACATAAGATTCACTGCTCACACTATGTACATTATTATTATTATTATTATAGAACAGCAAAGAGGGAGAGGAATGCAGAGCTCTGGCCCTGATAGACTCCACCCCTCCAGCTGTGCCTCGAGCTCTGAGACTGGACAGAATGACACACACTCATCCGGGCGCTGGCCTCGATGACCACCGAGAGTTTCGCAGGTGAAATGAATGGTCAAAAGAATTATTATATCAACCTAAGAAAATATATTTGATCACAATGGCTCTGGTCTTGTAGCCTCTCTGCTGATGGAACAACAACTGCAAGTCAAGATTCCCTTCACAAAGCCAGCAAAAAGAAAAGCATTAAGTCATCTATCGGACGTCTTTTTGGGAAAAAGGAAAAAGGGAGAATGGGGGCCCCTGGACGAGAATCTGCCTCACTAGGTTAGAGAATAGAACTATTATTTTGTGTCCTCCAAAAGAGACATTTGTTAATATTGTGAAAAATCCTTGCAGCATCTACTCCATCGGACGACTTAGGATCAGCAGACCCCCTGGGCTTAGCCAAACTAGGGACAGGGACTGTGGAAAAAGATCGCAGAAGCAAAAAGAAGTAAGATGTTTTCACCAATGCTAAATATTTATGGCTGTGCATGTGATCCTCTAAATGTTCTGTATTACATCAATGACATTACCAACAAACGTGTTTAGCAGATAATGTTCCCTGTGAATTTCTATTTATGAAGTAGTAGTAGCAGCTTAATCTCTAAGTAATCTGTCCACTCTCTGTGCCAGGCACGACCTGCTGGAGGAGGCCTGTCGTCAGGGTCTGCCTTTCGCCTCATGGGACGGTCCCACTGTTGTGACATGGCTCGAGGTACAACCTGGCACTGCTCTCTCACTCTGCAGCCTCAATTTAAATAGCAGCATCAGAATGACTTCTACTTCTACTGTCTCTGTCTCCTAGCTTTGGGTCGGGATGCCAGCTTGGTATGTGGCTGCATGTCGCGCCAACGTGAAGAGTGGCGCCATCATGGCTAACCTTTCAGACACCGAGATCCAGAGAGAGATTGGCATCAGTAACCCATTGCACAGACTCAAACTGCGTCTGGCCATCCAGGAAATGGTGTCCCTCACCAGCCCCTCTGCTCCGGCAAGCACACGCTCTGTAAGGGCCTCGTCCATCACTCTGCATCATTCACTTGTTTTAATGTTGATTCTAACAAAACAAAACATCTGTGTTTTTCAGTCTACAAGTAATATTTGGATGACACATGCTGAGATGGAGTCTCTTGCAGCTGCCACCAAACCAGTAAGACTCAAGACAAAAAATATGTCACTATACAATTACACTAGGAGAATATATTAGTGCTATATGAGTTTTATCCACAACATTTGTTTTAATATTTTATGAGTGAATTTGAACTCCATCCTGTCATTTAATTCAGTTTTTGTTTTGTTTTTCTTTGTCTTTGATTAGGAGTGTTTGGATACATCTTTTCCTTGCTATTCCCTAAGTTTCTGTTTGGATGTAGTGTTTTTCCGTCTCATTCTCACTCAACTAACAAGACTTGTCCTTCTGCTTTCCTTGTCCTTTACATTGTGCCCCCCTGACCCCCCTTTGCCACCACAACACTGTCCTTCTGGTGACCCTTGCTTCTCTCTGTGGCTCTTTGTCCCCTCTCTCTCGCTCTTCCTTCCATCGCGGCCGCCAGGAGCAGAAGGAGTTCAGCTGGGATCAGGTTAGTAGGTCTGACCACATGACTGGACCTACATTACGTGAGCTTACCAACGCCACTGCTCCTCTCTAAGACAAATATTTACAAAGAGCTTTGCGTCGCAGGCTTCAGAAGGGAGCCGTCTTTCTTTTCAGGAGAATGAGTCATGCGGATGGGAATCTGGGAAAAACTGCGTATTTAGACACATCTTCTGCTCTTGGTCCCTGTCAGATCCTGGCCTATGGAGATATGAACCATGAATGGGTTGGGAATGAATGGCTTCCCAGTCTGGGTCTCCCACAATATCGCTCCTACTTCATGGAGTCTCTAGTGGACGCTCGCATGCTCGATCACCTCACCAAGAAAGAACTGAGAGGACAACTGAAAATGGTGGACAGTTTCCATCGGTAAGAACGAAAGAAGTAGGTTTTGGTTTTTGGATCCATTGGTCCATGTGGGGCAGATGACCATAAATAAATCCTCTTGTCTTAATTTACAAGGAAGGTATTTTATACAGTATAGATATATTATATGGTTGCTGTTTATGTTGATTTCAGGCTTTTAACATACTTTTTTTTAATTCTTGGGTTTCATTAAACTGGCCAGTAGGGGGCGAATGAGCAGAGGTGGGACAACTCCGTTTTGCTCCCATTGAAAACCATGTAAAGCCTGTTTTGGAGTCAAAGGTTCTCCTCCTGTGCGGTGTACGGTTGTTATAACAGTATTAATCGGGGGACACTCAATCCTAAGTGAGTACTAAAAAATATTTCTCAAAAGAGTCTTGATTTCGGGCATTTTTGGAAGAAAAAAAAAACAGAAGAAATTGCTATGTTTCATTGGGGTGGCCTGCAGGGGGCGCTTATCTGGGAAAGCCTTGATCCACCTCGCCCGCCTCATTCAAGTGATTTTTCAAAGTGTCCTCCTTTATATGAGACCACAGTTGGAACACGGAAGAAACTCTTGTCTTTTTCTCTATTCGCGCGGTTGCTACAAACGTACACCGCTCAAAAAGATGGCATTTTGACAGCGCTTCTTCTACTATTTCTCCGTGTATAAACCCGACAGACTGCACTGCCAGGATACGTCACGTCTTGTGCCACATTTGTTATTCCCGCCACTGCTCTGACGTCATATGAAACCCAAGAATTATAAACATTAACATCCATAAACCATCTATGTACAAGTACTCAAGATATATAACATTCACACATTTTTCCTTTGTTTGTCTAGTTTAGTCTGAAATGGAGCAGAAAACTTGTAAACTCCCACCTGATAAGTCTGTCTTCATTTTGATTTTTATACATATTTCTTTTCCCTGCATATTTAGGGTCAGTCTGCACTACGGCATCATGTGTTTGAAACGTTTAAACTACGACAGAAAGGAGTTGGAGAGAAGGCGAGACGAGAGCCAGCATCAGAACCAAGGTTTGGACTGTTCCGTAACGTGGAGTGATATCTCGTGTCCTCTTTGGTGCTGTTCCTGATGGTCCTGGTCCTGGTTCTCAGATGTGATGGTGTGGTCCAACGAGCGGGTCATGTGCTGGGTCCAGGCGATCGGTCTGAAGGAGTTCGCCGACAACCTGTTAGAGAGCGGGGTCCACGGCTCGCTGCTGGCCCTGGACGACACTTTCGACTACACTGATTTGGCACTTTTACTGCAGATACCAAATCAAAACACACAGGTACGATGGAAGAACCCAGGGACATATAACGGGACGAATAAGTACAGCATCAGTAACTTTAAATTTACCGTGAAATGCTCTGAAATGTCATGAACCCTTTTCAGGCGAGGCAACTTCTGGAAAAGGAGTACAACGCGCTCATCTCCATGGGAACGGAGAGACGGCCAGACGAGGTAAACCCACTTGGTCAGAGGACACTAAGATATTTACAGAGACTTGTACACATTGGAATACGTTTGCAAAAAGTCCCCCGTGTGCACCAGACAAGAACATACATAAAAACAAGGTTAAAAGTACAGAAGTAAAACAATTGTCACTGTGAAATAGATCAACAAAAACAACGTGTTTTGCCGGCCATCACCGGTTTATATATCTTTCTGTGAGATAAACCAATTCGAACGACATACATTTTTTTATTGCACAATTAACATTATTTTTGCCAGTGTAGTTTTTTAACGTGATGTTTCAACAAATCAGTGACCTTATACAAAACTGCAACATTACTCTGGATGTAGCGAGGCCGGAAACCAAAGAAAAGAAAGCTGGCACTGGAACACTGTCATGTGGTGAAATGAAAACGAAACCCAAACTTCCAGAACTGAAAACAAGCCAGGGACAAAAGTGGTTTAGAAAATGGACGGACAACAAGTGGGAAAAGCTCAGGGAATAAATACACACAGGAAGACATTCATTGATCAGGAGACAGGAAAAAAACTCAAAACTACAAAACATAGTAAAAGGAAACTAATAATAATCACAAAAGTCCACATCATGACAAATATTACACAAGAGTGATTTGGATGCGTTTCTCTCTTGCTGGAGTTTATAGCAATGAGGAAAGCAGCGCAAAGTTCCCCTATCGGCCGGTGCAGGCAAAACCAATCGCTCAATCCATCTTCAGGCTTGCTAGCGGATACTCGATTACAGAAGTATGAATCATCTTTATGAAAAGCAAAAATATTATTACAGCAGGAAACACATCTTTTAATACTATTTGAAACCATATTTATCTTGTTTTTCTTGTCCTGTAAATTATTATTGGAGACTATTTATGGTTGTCTATTTTTAATGTATTTTCACTCTATTACTTATTTTGTAACACATTATTATTAACACACACTGATTACTACGATTACTACAATACACAGATTACTACAAAGCCAATGAGATGTTTTTTGTATCGTCAGGACGGCACAAAAACGTTCACTCGCTCTCCGTCCTGGAGGAAGATGTTCAGAGAGAAGGACCTTCGTGGAGTGACCGCAGACTCCGCTGAGACATTACCTGCCAACTTCCGTGCCTCGGCCATCGCTACTCCGTCAGTCACGCTGCGGAAGGTCCAGAGTGAAGGTGAGGCCCGCGGCACCAGCAGCACATCCTCCTCGGGCCTAACCTCTGCTGTTTTAACATGTAGTCTCTTTTTCAGCTAATTCTGGTCAGCGAGCAGAATCGGGGTCTGTGAGAACGTATTCATGTTAAAAGATAAGCACAGCAGGTGAGCATCCGCTTTGAGTTAATCTAGCCTGGCCTTAGCCATCCGTAAACTCTGGCCAATTATCATTTCCTACATGTACCTCTGGGTCTAATCCCAGCGGCTGCGGTTACCTCAGTTGAATCCCCTCCGACCATTCAGTGCATTGGAGGCAGGTGTTGTAGGTAGGTGTTGGTGACGTCAAAAATTTGTGTCAAATTTGCTGGTTGTAGTTTGGCAATGGCTGCGAATGCGATAGTAGAGAAAGCTCTTCAATCTGTCCTGGTTCGGCTTCAAATATCAAGATATTGGAACAGGAGAAAGAGGAATATTGAACAAATGTCATTGCTGCAAAGATGTTGTGGCTCTACTCTCCACGGGCTCCGTTAGTGGCAAAGGAGATGGCTAAAGCTAGGCTAAATGTTAAATGCCGCACTCACTTAAAGGGTTGCCAACTTGAGAACAGAAAAATGAGGGACACCATTTGGGTGGATTGGGTTGAGCACTTTTTTGTCCTAATTTCAATCTACACAAGAATCATGGAATTTCATAATCACAGTTTTTAGAATGTAATTTATTGACTACATATGAAAAATGAAATTAAAGAAACATTTGGAACTCTTTGGCTGGGTAAGGACTTAATGCATGCTTATTAGTCATAAAAAATATAAAAAAGGGTAACATACATTATTTATGTATGCGCGTGCGATGCAGTGAGTGATGTATTTAAGGCCACTCTGAAAATACCGGACAAAAGCCGTCCCGCATTGATTTAATACGGGATTCGCATAGTTTTTCTAAAATACGGGACAATTCCGTATTTTAAGGGAGGGTTGGCAACCCTACTCACTTGTCACAGTAAACTTATAATCATTTCAATCTGCAAAAGGAGTTAACCCCTCCCACCTGTTAACGGAGCTCAATGGAGTACGAAATGAAATTAGTACAATGGCATGGTAAGACCAGGCTAGTAATAATCCAATGAACAAATGAAAACACTGTCTTCTGTTTTGAACTTAACCGCCTTCTTTATGTTCCAGAATCATATTCCCTAACCCAAGATGGACAGAAAAAACATTTTGGAGAAAAAAATAACCGGATGGAATAGAATATAAACGGACTCTTGGGGGAGGCGACCTCATTCGAGCAACGTCTCGTAGAATCAAAGTGAGCGACTTGTGTATAGATGAAAAAAGCGTGAATGCTGATCCACCCGTTCCATTTGACCCATAGTTGTGGCATGACACTGTTTGACTCTGTGGACCGTAGAAAGTGACCATCGCCTATCGTGATTTCAGTTTCTCTCTTTGAGTGTGAGGTGGCAGTATGGACTCAATGAATTATTATTTTTATTTATTTATTTTTATGTTTTTTTAAATATATATACGTGGAAAAATGCATTCCTGTTACAAAGAGGAAAAGGGTACGTGGCACATATCCCTTCAGGTGAACTTGTTTCTGATCAAAAAAAAAGAACACTTCTGGAAACAACCTATTCTACAGTCGGGGAAGTGGCGGTTTACACGGGCGAAAGTGCACATCGGGAGGGGTGGGGTTGTATGTTCTTAAGCCATAAGTGAAAGAGATGCACAAATGTGAATAGGACAGACAATGAGACCAGTAGCAAGTGCTTTATATGAACATTCAAAGTGATAAGAAAACTCAAGCATCTGTGTTAATATGCATGCCAAAATGAACATTTTAGACCAACATCATGATACCAATCAACATATGATGTGAAAGCTTGAGTAAGAACTTTGTAAAATGTCTGTATTTTATTTTTATCATTTTTCTATTGTATGTATGTACAGTATGTATGTGTGTTAAAGCAGTATGTTCATTTCATACTTAATTTTAAGATGGTTATATCATTTTAGATTTAATAATGAAATGTTTTAAAATATGAACATTTGAGATATGCTACTTGTATGTGTACATTTAAAAAAACTAATGGTGTTGATTTAAAATTCATATTATTGGAGAGTAGTGATGATAAATAAATATTATATGACAACTATAATGATAATGATTGTAAAGCTGTAATTAAAACATACTGTAAAAAGTGGGACGCATCAGTATTCGTCATAATTATCATTATTTGTTTTATTATTATTATCTATTTTTTTCTCAAAACAAAACGATAAAAATATCAAATGGCTACCGATTTTCTACCTTGGATATTTTTATCGTTTTGGCGGAAATGACGTTTACAGGTGTTTATTTTTATTTTTTTATTTTTATTTTTGTTGAGCTGCGCTGGTTCCTCGAGAGAACTTCGGAAGGTGATTTTTTTGGATACCGCGCAAGATGGCGGCCAGTCCACAAACTTTTTGAGACGTCTGACTGAAATTTTAACTCCAACTCAAACTGGACACTTTTGAGAAACCAATTGGAAGCAAAGGAAATTTATATTGATATATTTGAGTGGACGGGACAAAACAAACTAGTTTAAAGTGAGTGGAAAAAAATATTTTACTGAAAGACCGTTAGCCTTTTATTAGCATTAAGCTAGCGGATTTTGCAAGCACGCTTTGAACATGTTGAAGAACTCTAAAGCCATGAAAGAGGAACTCAAACGTAAGACAAGAAGCTCTGATACGCATACTACGATGGACAAGCATGACTACGCCAGTGAGAACCGCTTTGGTATGTTGGAAATTGATGAAGAATTTTCACCACTCCCCGACTCGCCAGTTAACAGCCCCGCGCCAAAGAAAACATGCAGTGGGGAGAAAGAGCCTTCATTACACGCTATCCTCAAAGCGGTCAACGACAGAGCAGAGGAGGTAAAGGTGCTTATCAATCTGAATTCTGAGGACATTAAAGAGATTAAACAGTCGATTGGGTACTTGCATGACGAGATTGATGAGATAAAGAAAGAGAATAATGCATTGAAAACAACGTGTGGAAAGCTAAAGACTGAAATGGAGAATCTAGAGGAGCGTGTTGCTGAGGCTGAACGATATAAGCGCAGATGGTGCCTTCGCATGTACGGTCTGCCTGAACATGATGGAGAAAACGTGAAGGAGAAGGTCATGACCATTTGTCTAAAAGTGGTTCCTGCGCTCGGACAGAAGACATCGGAGGGGATTGACGTAGTTCACAGGCTGGGAAGGCGTGATGCTAACAAGCCCAGAGGGGTCATCATTCTGTTCGCTCTCCGCTCATTAAGAGACGAGATCTGGAGAAGTGCAAAAAACAACAGCTATCTACGAGACAACAAGTTGCGCTTTGGAGAAGACTTAACTAAGGAAGACAAGGACGCCAGAGCGGCGCTGTGGCCCATCATCGAGCAGGCCCGTAAAGATGGTAAGAAGGCATACTTCGTGGGACGTAGAGGATACGTGGAAGGCAAAGAAGTTCGACGCAGCGTTCCTTCCTGACTCTGAATGGCAAGACAAAGAAGATTGATTGAACTTGTCCTCACTGCGAATTTCTATTGCTACACTCAATGATGAAGTGTGGTAAGACTACATATTTATGTTCAATATAAATACATACACGTTCACTCATGTGTATGTACATTTGAGGTTTCAAATATGTTACCAGGAGTTGTGGTTTCAGTTAATGTCTTGAGAGGTTTTTTCCCAAAAGGTTCTGTAAAAAGTTATTTTGGATTTAACACTTTTGTCTGTTAATACAAGGGGTCTGCGCGATAATATTAAAAGAAAAGCTTTTTTTTTGTTCTCTAAAGAGGCTAAATCAGATTTTATCTTTCTTCAAGAATGTCACTCTAACTCAGAAGATGTTTCATTCTGGAAGAATCAGTGGGGGAAGGATTTGTGGTTTGCACACGGCTCAAACAAATCAGCAGGAGTCATTATTTTAAAAGATAATTTTAAAGGAAAATGTTTAGATTCTATATCTGATAGCAAAGGTCATTGGATTATGAAGCTCTTCGCGAAAGTTCACTGTGGTAGACCCGGCCACTGCTGCCAGACCTACAAGCCTGCTCATCCTCTACTCATTACACCAGAAAAACGCCCACATCTAATCCACCAATAACCACCAGGACAGCAAGTTAAAAGCCGGAGACGCCCACTTCCCGATCTTCTGAAGCTTGCAAACTTCTGAAGCCTGCAAGGTGCATGTCGCTAACGCACCTGTTCGCAAATGCATGCGTTGTTCTGGAGGGGTCGCTTCTGCTCACGTGTTGCTCGTGCGCGTGGCCCGGCTGTCCTCAGTCTGGCTGCTCGTGGTCTGCTCCTCCTCCGCGTCCCTGCACCTGCTATGGTTCCCGCGTGTCTCCACTGCTCTCCTCCTCTGCGGGCTCTTCTGCGGGCTGCTCCGCGGGGCCCCTCCGCGGTTCTGTGCTGCTCGTTCCTCGTGGTCTGCTGCCGCGCGCAGACGGTCTGGCGGTGCCGTGCGTGTCCCTGCCTCCGATTGGCGGTGCCGCGTTGTCCCGTTGCTTTTCCCAAGTCTCCTGGCATGTGAGTACAGTGAGTGTGCCGACCGCGGACGGATTAATCCCGGAGTCTAGGCTGCAGGCGGCTGGTTTTGGCCCTGCGCACTTGACTGCAGGCGTCAGTTTTCGCCCCGTGCTTGGTCTGCAGGCTCCGTTTTACACGTGTTTGAGCTAACTGAGGGACAATGCATATTAAATGGCATCAATCTCCAATGTCTGAGGGATATAAGAGGAGCAATGTGCATTAATTCAGATTCATGTTCTGCCACTTGCAGTAAAACCACGTTGGAAAAAATGTGCAAAGACTACCCATCGTGCTCCAGACGGCACACACCAGAACTCTTGCCACGGCGCCATTTTACAGCATTAATCTCATTACTCGCAGGTCACTATTGTTAAACGAATGTATTTAAATTCGTCTATCTGCAGGAGGAAGGAGGGGCCATGCATTTAAATAGCTAGGTCACTAGTATTAAATTGGGTAACTAAACTGCAGTTGTTGCATTTCGAAAGTGCAGCAGAAAGAAAAGGGGCCCAATGTGAATCTGCAATGGGTTCGAAGTGGAGTTGGAGCTATGAACGCATGGAAAAGTGATGGTTCATGCGTATCTGCCATAACCAAAGCAGCAAGATGGCTCCAGGGGATATCTGTTTTTCGCATGGGAATGTTTCGGATTCGGGTTGATTTATTTCCTCAGGCTCTTAAACAACCGTGGGCATGGTTTTCTGACCGCCGCTGCTGCGGTCCCTGCTGCCGTTCCTACTGATGCCTGATCCCGCTGATGCCTGTTCCCGCTGCTGCCTGTTCCTGCTGCCGCTCCTGCTGCTGCCTGTCCCTGCTGCCTGCTCCTGCTGCTCCTACTACTACATGTGCCGCTGCTGCTGTTCCTGCTGCCGCCTGTTCCTGCTGCTGCTCCTGCTGCTCCTGCTACTACATGTGCCGCTGCTGCTGTTCCTGCCGCTGCCGCTCCGCGGGCTCCCGGGCGGCACCCTTCTCTACGGCTTGGCTCTTTCAGACACGTATGTAACCTGGCTCACGGAGACAAGCGGCGCACGCTGGCGTGACACGTCTGTTGTTCGTATGAATCGCATTGTGGTGCTACTGCTCCTGCTAATGCTGCTTCTGCTGCTTCTTACTGCTACCGCTACTGCTGCTACTGCTGCTATTGCTGCCGCTGCTGCTTCATACTGCTACTGCTGCCGTGCTGCTGCTGCTTTTTTACTTTGACACCTCTCTTCACTTGCATCTCTTTTACTGAAACACTGAACAGCTACTACAACATTCTACTGCTGTGGCTTTGATACAGGATTATTACTGTTATTTTCTAAGGACGCTGCTGCTGCTGCTGCTGCTGCTACTGTCGCGGCTTGATACAGGACTATTGCCGTTATTATCTGAGGTTGCTGCTGCTACTGCTACTGCTGCATCCCACTCTCTCAGAAGCTTATCCTGCTTCTAATGGACGCAGCCCGGCTGAGCATGCCGCGCTGCGCTGGACTCGCACCTATGCTCCCAGGGTCGCTTCGGCGGTCATGTTTCATCTCTACTTAATCTTCTGATTCTATCAGATGCAGCTGGCCAAGTAGCTGCGCTGAGCCGTCAATCGGACTCCTAATCAAAGGCATCCATACCTGTATTCTTCACTCTTCTGATCGCAGGCTCCCCATCATGCTGCCCATCCTGCAGCGGCGCTGAACTCCGGCTCATCTCCCAAGTACATGTCCGCCCTCCTCGCAGCATCTTCCTGCTTTCCTTCTATGGCTTCTCTGTGTAAGCGTTTCACCATTGCTCACTCAACCTTCATGCGGTCCGAGACACGGCCTTCCCGACCATCCTACTATCCTGATTTCTACTCTCCAACCCAAGGTTTCAAGCGTAAGGGCGCCTGCAACATCAATGGCCCTCTCCGACATGTCTCTGCCCCTACAGGTCTCCGCTTCTACACGGACGCTGCCCCTTCCGTGGGTTTTGGGGGATTCTTCCAGGACCATTGGTTTGCCGAGCGTGGCCGCTACTTTCCACCGGAGCATCTCCTCTGCCCTACACGTGATATTCCCAGTGGTCGTGGCTGCGCGCTGTGGAATCACACGTGGCAGAGAAAGAGGATCTCTGTCACGTGTGATAATCTCGACGTAGTGGAAGCATTACACAAAGGTCGCTCTTTTTCACCCAACATAATGTCCCCTGACCATTTCAACCTCCGTCTCAAACATTCAAAAATCAAAGGAGCCTGCAATATAGTAATAGCTCGCTCGGACACATCTCTCTGCCCCTACAAATCCTTTATGCGTTACACTCGCCTCCACTGCAAAAAGGAGATCTTAACGGACCTCTATTTCTCACTCCAGACATTCTTCCCATGACAGCAACCTGGTTCAGAACTCAACTAAGATCCCTACTGCTCCTCTGTAAATTGTCTCCCCAGCTCTACACAGCTCACTCCTTCAGGATAGGCGCTGCCACGCGCGCGGCCTCGCTGGGGCTCCCCCACACCTCTCTGCAACAGCTGGGGCGCTGGTCCTCTTCGGCTTTCTCCACCTACATCAGGCCAGACGCGTCCGCCATCCTGGCTGCACAACGGCTACTGGCTTCCTCGTAAGCTCCCAGCAAAGCAATACAAAGCAAAGTAAGTGAACCAATAAGATTCTGGTGGCGGCACGCACTTCTTCAAAGATAACCCTGTTGCAGCGTCCGGTTGATCGTGATGCGAGCGCTCACGTCCCGGCGCTTAAAGATAACTCCACTGCAGCGTCTGGTACCGATCGTGATGCGAGCGCTCACGTCCCAGACAGCGTCCGGTTGATCGTGATGCAAGCGCTCACGTCCCGGCGCTTAAAGACAACTCTGCTACAGCGTCTGGTATCGATCGTGATGCGAGCGCTCACGTCCCAGACAGCGTCCGGTTGATCGTGATGCAAGCGCTCACGTCCCGGCGCTTAAAGATAACTTCACCGCAGCGTCTGGTACCGATCGTGATGCGAGCGCTCACGTCCCAGACAGCGTCCGGTTAAATCGTGATGCGAGCGCTCACGTCCCGGCGCTCAAAGACAACTCTGCTACGGCGTCTGGTATCGATCGTGATGCGAGCGCTCACGTCCCAGACAGCGTCCGGTTGATCGTGATGCGAGCGCTCACGTCCCGGCGCTTAAAGACAACTCTGCTACAGCGTCTGGTATCGATCGTGATGCGAGCGCTCACGTCCCGACAGCGTCCGGTTAAATCGTGATGCGAGCGCTCACGTCCCGGCGCTCAAAGACAACTCTGCTGCAGCGTCTGGTATCGATCGTGATGCGAGCGCTCACATCCCAGGCAGCGTCCGGTCGATCGTGAGCGAGCGCTCACGTCCCGGCGCTTAAAGACAACTCTGCTACAGCGTCTGGTATCGATCGTGATGCGAGCGCTCACGTCCCAGGCAGCGTCCGGTTGATCGTGAAGCGAGCGCTCACGTCCCGGCGCGCAAAGGTAACTCTGCCCGTTTTTGGGGGATTATGCGCGCGAGCAAGCGCCGCACTCATCAGCATCTCTCCCGGGCCTAGGGCGCCAAACATACTCAATCAACAAACTTCTAACTGCATTTTCCCTGTTGGGTCTCTCCAAAGTGAAATAATAGTAATTGAGTTGCACTCTTCCATTTTTTTGTTAGGGAATGTTTATGGCTATAATTCTGACTCTGCAAACTCAACTTTGTTGAATGAAATACAAGCCGTTGTTAATACTCTACACACAAAATATACTTCGGCAAAGTTGATCTTGGGAGGAGATTTCAATATGGTGTGGTCAAACCATGTTGATAGACATCCTTCAAAATCAAGACATGAAGACAAACATTTGATTGAATTTTCAAACCATCTAAACTTAATAGATATATGGAGGATTCGGCATCCTGATGAACGTCAATATACATGGAACAACAAAACATTTTCATCCTTATCTAGAATTGACTTTTGGTTAACATCAAAGGAAATTGAGCAATGTGTATCAGAGGTAGAAATTTGTCAAGCTATATTAACTGATCATAGATCAATTTCCATAAAACTGAACTTGACATGTAAAGAAAACAGAAGAGTATATAGCTTCTGGAAACTTAACAATTTGCTGTTAAACAATACTGATCTTACCTCTGTTATAAAGAAACTTATCAAACAATACTGGACTCTAGCAACAATCAATAATGAATTTGGCAAAATATTGGGAGCTACTTAAATATGAAATTAGAAAATTTACAATCCACTTCAGTAAGAGACTAAATCAAAATAAAAAAAAGAATCTAGAACAACTGATTAAACGCATTTCAGAAATTACCACTCAGATTTTAGACGATAATAATAACGAATTGCTCACACAATTACTTAAATGTCAAGAAGAATTAGATGGGATTTTTAGGGAAAGGGCTCAAGGAGCATTTGTCAGATCAAGATTGAAATGGATTGAAGAAGGGGAGAAAAACAGCAAATATTTTTTTGGTATTGAAAAAAGAAACTATGAAAGAAAGTCATTAACTAAATTGAGTATAAACAATGTATTGTCTGAAAATTATACTACAATTTCTCAATATGTATCTGATTTTTACAGTAACCTTTATAAGAAAGATATCTGCATGGACAGTACATCGGTCCTCCATTCATTGAAAGATGTAAAAAAAGCAAACGAGACTTTTAAAGAAGATTGTGATGAATCCTTGTCTGTAGAAGAAATAAGAAGTGCAATCAAAAATTTAAAACCAAATAAGTCGCCAGGTAATGATGGGCTAACTTCAGAATTTTATCATCTATTTTCACATGAGATTTCTGAATTTCTTCTTGCAGTTTACAATGAGTCTATTAACAATGAAGAGTTACCTACTTCAATGAAACAAGGTCTCATAACTTTAATACCAAAGCCACATAAAGACCCTTTGATTATTGATAATTGGCGAGGTATTACATTACTCAATAATGACTATAAAATTTTAGCATCCCTGTTGGCTAAAAGATTAAAATGTGGTTTAAACGATATTATTCATGAGTCTCAAAACGGATTCATGCCTGGGAGGCAAATAGCAGATAACATAAGATTAGTTTTAGATCTAGTTCACTATAGGGACTTATTTCCAGGTGATCCTTTGATTCTTTTTTTAGATTACCAAAAGGCTTTTGACACTGTAAGTCATACATTTATTTTTGATACATTACATTTTCTAAATTTTGGAAATTTCTTCATCAAAGTTCTTAAGACTCTTTATCGGAACAACAACAGTGCTGTGAAATTGCTCTTTGGTACATCTTACAGATTTGATATCAACAAAGGTGTAAGACAAGGTTGTCCAGTTTCACCATATATTTTTTTACTTGTGGGACAGATTTTGAATTATTTGATTTCGACAAAGTTCCTTTCAAGGGATTAAGGTTTTTGAGCAAGAAATTAAAATATCTCAATTAGCCGATGATACAACTATATTTCTTAAAAATGCTGAAGAAGTCCAATCAGCCTTGTCCACAATATCTACATTTTCAAACATTTCTGGGCTGAAACTTAATTTAAAAAAATGTGACATTCTAACTCTTTATAATACTAATCTTAGAGATATCTGCAACATCCCTGTGAAGGATACGGTGACTTATTTAGGCATAAAAATATCTAAGGAGAGCAGAAATATGACAGAAAATGTTTTGTCTGTTACGGATGCTATAAAGAAGAAATTTAATAGCTGGTTGGGAAGAGATCTTTCTATTAATGGTCGAGTTTTGTTAAGCAAGGCAGAAGGAATGTCCAGAGCCTCTTACATATTCTCAACACTAGATGTCTCCAAAACGCTCTGCTCTAATCTTGATAAAATCTTATTCAAATTCCTGTGGAAAAACAAAGCCCATAAATTAAAACAAACAGTTCTCACCAATTCTTTAGCTGAAGGTGGATTGGACGTCTTAACTTTTACTGCTTTAAATCAGATTTTGAAAATTAATTGGATAAAACGATTTAAAAAAAATCCAAATTGTTTATGGAATATCTTCCCAAATTATTTTTTTGGAACGTTGGGAGGCCTGAATTTTCTTCTGCATTGTCCCTTTGCTGTTGGAAAACTTCCTGTGAAATTAGCCAAGTTTCACCAACAGGTTTTACTGTACTGGTCTTTACTTTACAAACACAACTATTCTCCTCACAATTGTATTTTATGGAACAATGCTTACATCCTGCATCGAAGGAAATCCTTATATTTAGAGAACTGGTTTGACAAAAATATAAATACTGTGAAACAACTTTTAGATGATAATGGTGATTTTTATGAGTATAAGGTTTTCATAGAAAAGTATGATGATCAAATACCTGAGCATGAGTTTGATGTGGTTGTAAAGTCAATACCTCAAAGTATAAGAACATTAGCGCAAAGTATTCATTTTATTGACTCACATTTCACGGATGTTTCCATTTTAGGTGTAAGCTTACAAGATAAAAAGTGCACAAACAAATATATTAGGGATAGTCTTATACAATTGGCCAATCCAGTATGTAAACATAGGTGGGGTTCATTTAACCGAAAATATTGGAATCAGGTTTTTTTGTTGCCCTACAAATATATAATCACAAATCTAGTCAAGGAATGTTTATTTAAAATTGTACACAGATATTACCCTGTAAAAGACAATATTTGTCGTTTTTTACCTAATCTAAGTAACCAATGTTCCTTTTGTCAATGTGATGGTGAAAGTATTGAACACTTATTAAGTAAGTAAGTAAGTAAGCTTTATTTATATACCGCCTTTCACAGACCAGAGTCACAAAGCGGTTTACAATTGTTATTTTTATATTATTATATAATATTTATGTTATTATATGTTGAATGTCCTATTATAGTTCGATTTTGGTCCAATGTGCAACACTATTTGGCTGGAATATTCCAAAAAAATGTTAATATTTCCAAATTTCAAATTTTACTAATATTTTATGATAAAAAATTCTCCTCTGATGAAATTTACATTATAAATCTAATACTGATCTTATAAAGTACTACATCCATAAAACTAAATTCTGTGAAAAAAAACCTTCCTTCTCTGCTTTTAAAGCTTCTGATCTGAAAACCTATCTAGCCTGTATTGAAAATTTAAAACTAAAAAATAAGAAATTAATTAGAACAATCACATTGATAATTTTTTTTAAAGTATTAGTCGATTAGCAGACCCCTGTATGTATGTATTTTATTTTATTTGATCAATATTAGTGCATCAATGTGTCTACGTTGTTGAGAAATGTACTTGTTTCTTGCACACTTTGAATAAATAAATAAATTTAAAAAAAAAAACTTCGGAAGGTGCGTCACTTCCGGGTCCACTGCGCCATCTTTGAAGTCCACCCGCTGACGCCGTTAATATCATGGATCTATTATAAGGTTAATATATACAGTCTATGGTAAAGACCAACCTATAACAAATACTTTCAAGAACTGCTCTGTCCAGGTTTGATTTGAAGGTAAGCTAAAATAATGTACAATATGGACAAAACATTTAAACAATATTTTAAGTCTATGAACAAAACCCACTAGTAACAAAAAGTGACAGTAACCGCACGTGTAAGCTAGCTCCTGATTTTCAATTATTTTCCAGAAAATGTCTTTGTGTAAAGATGGCTTTGCTTCACCTCCTTCCATTCTCAAAAGGTAGGACTTTTTTCCAGTCATACTTCTCCTTCTGGGTTCCCAATCAGGGGTCCACGAGCTCTGTTAGCTTCACTAATGAAAGTGAAAACATTGCTTTGTTGGGTTGCAAAGGAGCGGAATATTGTCATGGTAAATTATGCTGAGGACATTTCAAAATAAAATAAAAACTTTCCATGGGAATAATGGGTATTTTAAGAATGAATGGTAATGTAGGGGAACCAACTGGGGATTTAATGTAATGTATCATATTTGTATAATATCCAAGCATAAATATAAACAGAAGTCATAAGAATACACCCATGCAAAACATTTTCAACAGATGTTTTTGTTAGTTCCCATAATATCCTCAAAACTGACTTGACTGTGTTTTGTCCATGTGTCGCTTCACTCGTCTTGTGCTTTTGACTCAAATGTGGGCCAGTAGGGGGCGTGGTCTCAACAGCTGTGTGTTATGTGTCTGTGATTGAGGAATCTGTTTGTTTTGGCCTAATCTTGACCGAAACATACATCCCTTAACTATATTTAAGTTCCCTATGAAGAGTCAAGCACCAATATTTAAAAATCCTAGTTTATACCCAGCTATTCCCATAAATGTCTGTTAATTCTCCATTAATACATTTTACCCAGCTATAGATGTGTTTTCAATTGCACTAAAATAATGTTGGAAGTTATATACCCCTAGTACACTCCTATTACACTATTTATATACCATTACACACTATTAATACATTATTGCACACTATTACACACTATTACACCACTAATCCAGTATTACTACACTGTTACACCAGTTAAAAGGTCTTCTTTCTTTTGGTTAGTAAAAATGTTTAAATGTGTTGAAAGTTGTGTTGAATGTGTTTTAACATAGAGCAGAAGTGCAAATAGTACAAAAGCTGCACTTGTGAAAAGTGAATCAGGAATGAGACGTGAAGCGGCGCATTGTGTTCAAAGTGAAAAGTAAAAAGAACATATTCTGGCCCTAACTGTTTGAAGGATGTTGCAAACAAACAAACAAACAAATAAACCCAGATGAAACATAACCTGGTGGTGGAGGAACTCCCCCAGAATCTCAGTGTTTGTAAATGTGTGAGTTTTTGAAGAGGAGACTGTGCACAGCTGTGTTCCAGTAAAGAGATACACTCACCGACTTTCATGAGCACAAAGACCCAACGTCATGTTTATATTTGCAATCGTCTGATTTATTATATTTGCAATCGTCTGATTTATTGGAATGTGACGCAGCAAAGAATCCCGGTGTTAATATTTACGGAAAAGTGAAACTATGCTGTGATGACAGTAAGTATGTAACAGTTTCTATAACTGGAAACAGTTTATCTTTAGCTTCAATTATTTAATTTATTGTGAGTTTTTAAAGACTTTATCTTTAAAAGAGCTTTAGGCCAATTAGAAATATGTCTGTTATTTACAAAGTATATGTTTGGAGATCTACTGTAGACATTTCAAACTTTTAAGAAACGGAAGTATCTCTGGAACCGGATAAAATCCATACATGGAGCTCGGAAAAAGTAGTAAATCTTATTATTTATGTACAAGTCTGAGTCATGTGAAGGAGGGCCCTGCGTCCTTTATAAGGACCACTCCACGGTTGTTTCCAAAGAGTTTAAACTGGAGCTGCGTTTTTGCTATTTAACCAAATTGAAGCCAAACTATTTGTTTTATTATCATATGTATTCAAATCTTTATGTCATTTTCCAAATGTTTTTTGGTAAAAAATATCCACTCACTATTTTACTGTTTGTTTTACTTCCATGCAGTTTGTCACTTTACATTCCTCCCTCAAACCCACTTTTAGCCTTTGGTAGCCAAGTGAGAGAGACGCACCTTTACACTGGTAAGTTTATTCAAATAGTACGTTATGAACATCTGTCATTGGAGAGAACGACCTAAGTGTCTTTGTCAATCACAGACAACCACAGAAGAGGAATGTATCTGCAAATATCGCTGGATGGAAAGGTTTCAGGGAGTGACAGACAGACTCAGTACAGTAAGTTCGTGAAGACAGAAGAACACAGTCTCCTCAGCGTCGCTTCAGTGTCTCTTCACTCTCTGCCTCTTGTTTTCAGGTGAGCTGCAGCTGAAGTCTGTTCAGAGCGGAGAGGTGGTGATCGTGGGGCGCGGGTCGTCACTGTTCTTATGCACCGACAGCGGAGGAAGCCTCAGGGGCCAGGTAACCACGAGACCCATCTGTGTGCGTGATGAGACACTGGAGCTGCTTACAACATGTGACATCACCTTCTCCCCCCAGAGCCATTACTCCGCCGCAGACTGCACCTTCAGGGAGCTGCTTCTGGCTGATGGATACACACGCTTTGTCTCTTCCCATTATGGACTTCCTGTTTCTTTGGCTCCTAAACATTCCCAGGATCCTCACGCAGTCGCCTTCACACGGTTCCTCCCTCTCAGGAGCACTCTGCCTGAGGCCCCGCCCCCCACAGGGGCCCCCAGCAGACCTCACAGTGTAAACCTGGACTCTCACGACCCACTGGGAATGGAAACGGCTGTATTTAGTCCACAAATATTTATCCAGAAATAATGGACTGCTACTTGAATACAGTATAAGGTACTATTCAGGCTTTAAGACGTATTTATTGAATACTTGAGGTTTATTTAATTATTTATTTCTATTTAATAATATGCGACATGTTTGCACTTTTGTTAAATTATTCTGGATACTTTATTGTCCCTTTGATGCTTGAGCAGGTTCTCAGTGATGTCTACAGTGTTTAACCAGAGTGCTGCTCTCTTGTGGTCGTTTTGAAAAGTACAGGTGGCAAATGGAACATTAATAAAAAATGATCTTTTACTAAATGTTTTTGTCCTTTTTTGTAAATATAAGAATATATGTTTATAAAGCTATTCACAGTAATACGATTAATAAACATAAAGCAAACATTGTTACATTAGATCGTTGCACTGGTAAAGAGGTTATCTTGCATGATATGGCTTTAACTCTTAATGTTCACTCCTTGAAGAAAGCAATGTATTATTTCTAAGATGTAGGTCACTGATAACACAATTTGTTTATACCCGTCGTTTTTTTAATCATAAGCCTTTACCAAATGGTCGAGGTGCAGTTTGATGATAAAAGGGCCTATAACCAAATTAATTCATATAGTAACTCAAAATGTGATCTGCCAAATGGTTGAGAAAACTATAAGGGTTAAAGCCTCAAGTGTAACTGTCTATGGCAGGCTTGCTTCTCAACAAATATTGTACATGCCACGGAGGAGGGCATTCTTTGTGTTTCCATGGCAATCTTAACTATCAAATACAATAACATCTACAGACACATTGATTATCATCTTACTTGCACAGTTGTTTTGGGTACAGCTTTCTGGGGTGAAAAGAAAAAGCAATTGAGAATGAAATTAAACGTTTTGTTGAAATTGTCCAGGCTTCCCTTGGAAAAGAGTTTCTTTGTCTCAATGGGACTTTTTTATTTTATGTTTTGATTTATTTGTTTATTTGAGCAGACAAGTACTGCTCAAAAGGAGTGGGCTGAAGCAAGAGCTTGTTGGTACCCATCCCCAAAACGCGAGAGACTTTCCTGGTTAAATAAAAAAGAGGATATAAATTCTTCTCACAACCTAAATGAAATGTTAATGGATCATTTGAAAATCATTTGAAAATGTTCTTAAAGAGAATGACTTGTTCTTAATGGCCCTGAAGAATCTTTGGATGAGTTTTGTGCTGCAGATTTAGTAAACGTCTTGTGCACTGAGTCGAGGTATTCCACAACACTAACAAAATATAATCTTTATTAGAAACATCTGATTTGAACATTTACAGCACACAGTAGTTTCTTTACACATGGTCAGAACGGCTGGACTTCAGATTAACAGTCAGTGTCATCTGATGTATTAGCGATACAGTAGAGAAAAGTACTGAGATATTTAAATAATAATTATCTGCTTACTGCTAACAGGACTGTACACGTATTTGTTTTTTTATTGAAGCTCTAAATTGCTTATTTCTAGGATTATTCGGAGGGCTATGTTCCTCTATGATGTCTGCTTTTTATGACTGTTCTATGTGAATATTGTAAGTGATGTGCTGGGAGTAATGTATAATAATAATAGAATTTGAACTCTGAATATTGTGAAGCGCTTTGGGTGACCTTGGTCTGTAAAATGCACAATATAAATAAACATTACTTACTTACTAAATATGTCTTGTAATAAGGTCCTGTGTCCTGAAAGTTTTTGTGCTACCCTCCCTGTTGCAGACCATAATAAATGTGACATTTGAGTCTTATTTTCCTTACCTACCTTTGAATAATATTATAGAAATGAATCGCAATATATCGCAGAATCAAAATACTTGCTGTATCGCAATATGTTAAGAATGGCAATAATATAGAATTGTGGCAGACATACAGTATATTGAATTGTCACATGTTTGCCTATTCCCACTCCTACTTTTTATTACCTACTAATGTACTCTGGGCCCAATAGACAGATGGCAGAGATCACACACGGGCATTGTGGAAGTACAAGGTTTTGAGTTTCCTTCATGAAGTAATTGAACCAAAATTGCAAACATACATATATGTAGTTTGAAATCTTGTTGAATCTTCTCTTGTTTTAAGACATCAGAGTTTGATCATACATATGTAACATTTTAAACACAACCAATGATATCACAGCATTCATAACACAACCCTGAGAATGTAAAACTATTCTGTTGACATACAGTATACTCCAGTGTTGTCTAAAATCACATACATACACACAACAAGCCTCATCACACTTGAGTGACCAGTGGTTCTCTCATACATGCAGATCCGTCTTTAAACTCTGCCTCGACAGCCGGACATGGACCGTCCGGCAGCGGGCCCTTAACAGGACTATATCTGCCCTCAATGGCGTAGTACTCTGCCTCTGGGTCGTGAAACTCGTCCTCTTTTTGCTCCTTTTCTTCCTCCTCCTCCTCCTCCTCCTCATCTTCCCACAACGATGACTTGACGTGATTGTATGCTGTCTGGTCTTGGCACTCAGTCCCGCGGTGGTAGAAATAACTGAAGTTGGACACTATCACTGGCACTGGGAGCGAAATGGTCAACACGCCGGCAATGGCACACATAGAGCCCACCATTTTCCCCCAAACGGTGTCCGGACACATGTCACCGTAGCCCACTGTGGTCATGGTAACCACAGCCCACCAAAAGCCATGCGGTATGCTGATAAAAGTTGTGTTTTTGTGGTCAGCTTCGGCAAAATAAATGGAACTGGAAAAGAGAATGACTCCGATAAACAGGAAGAATATGAGAAGGCCTAATTCGCGCATGCTGGCTCTGAGGGTTTGGCCCAGAATCTGCAGGCCTTTGGAGTGACGGGACAGCTTGAAGATCCTGAAGACTCGCACTAGCCTAATGACCCTGATGATGGCTAAGGAAGTGGTCTGAGTGGCTTCATTGTCTTTGGCCAGCTCTGTGCCGAGAGTAACAAAGTATGGCAGGATAGCAAAGAAATCTATAATATTCATGACGTCCTTGAAGAAGTTTGTCTTGTTTGGAGCTGAAGCCAATCGCATTAAGAGCTCAAAGGAGAACCAACATATACACATAGTCTCCACCAAAAAAAATGGATCGTGGAAGAAGCTTTGCGGCAGGGGCATGTTCTCCGAGACATTCTTGGGATGGGAGTGATAGTTGCGCAGATAAACCTAGGAGAACAAGACAAGGCAATGTTTATAAATTAATCCTGATTTCTATCATAAATCACATATTGAAAGTCTTGCATGTAATATTACTCGTCTAAATAGCAGCACTGGTTCTCTCTACCTCCTCCACCTCCACTTTGGTCTACACTTTAAGTGAAGCATCATAAATGTGTCAGTTTGACATTTCAGTCGATGCCATGTCTCTTTTCATCCACCTGTCTCTAAACCTAACCACGTAATGCAACCCGTACATTTGTATGAAGTACTCACATAGTCCTGAACATTGTTCATGATGGCACCTGTTACTTTTAAATCATGTTTGCAAAGACAGTTGGATTAGTTAAACCTGTTAATGCATTATCTTTGGTTTCATAATACTTATAATTAACCTCAGTAACTTTTTGCATAGCTTTCAGTAGCAGGTCAGTCAAAGTGTTGATTACTGATGTGTATTTGTTGATCTCCACCTAGGTCTCTCCTAAGACTATATTTAACCTGTGAGATCTTCCAGGAGAAACATGAGAGTGTCTCAGAGCATCTATGTCCACTTTCATTGCTATCCCCATATATGCTGAGCCCTGGCAGCAGTAAAACACTCACTTTGGTGACTCCACAGACTCAGATACAAGTTACAGTAGTTTCCTGGCAGGGCTCTAGTGCAACGGCAGCTCAACCAGCGAAGCAGCCAGAGAGGAATGTGTTAACATGACCCAATGTATGCAGCTCGTTCTGTGAGACCTTTTAGCGTCCACTTCTAAGCCCGTGGAAGTGGTTAGCTCACCTCTTCCCATGTGTTTGGACACTTGTTTGACCTTTTCTTACCTCACCTTGCAGCCCAAGTTATGTTTTCTTTCTCGCCTATGATTTGCAATGCACTACCGTCAAAGAGCCAGTGCCCTTTAGCAATCCAAGTGTATCAAATTTAACAGTGGACAAAAATAATCTCTGCTTTACTTTCTCTCACACTCTGGCTGGCTGACATGTCGCTCTGTCGTTCTTGTGTGAGAGGTTTCCCTTTTATCACAATGTAGTCACCATCAGTGTTTACATTCAGTAAACACAGAGCTGGAGACATGGAGCATTTCTTGCATCTCTCTGAGGGAATTACAACATCATTGCGTGTTAGGGAGGTTAAATAAAGAGAGGTTCAAAACAGTTTATGTGCATACTGATACAATCTAGAGATTTAATCTAAATTCTTCAGTTCAATGTCCTGTGATTATTTATGATTTTATTGCTGTGTGTGATTGTTCAGCACTTTGAGTTGCCTTGTGTAGGAACTGTGCTATACAAATAAACTCGCCTTGCCTAATAAATATCAAATATGATCAGAAATGTGTTACTGTGTAAACATGTAAGTTCATTTTAGTACTTCTTTACTGCTTTACTGCTTCTTTATGTGTGTATGTTTGATTTAGTGATATCAGATATTATAGATATTGACATGGTTAATAGAAATTGTTATGCTATGTGATGTTTATTTGTATGTGTACTTACTGCACTTGTATATAGTTGTAATTGTAAGAAATATTTTGGAGATTTTAATTTATCTATGCCTTTATCTATTTTTACTTTTCAGACTTGTTTGCACCGAAAGCCAAAACAATTTCCTTGTTTGCAACGTCCTGTTACAATGGCAATAAAAATAATTCTGATTCCGGTTTATTAAGTAATGTATGACTTGCCTCTCTGGCTTCTTTGTCCACCCTGAACTCAGGAAGTGTCTCCAGGCAGAAGATAAGAATGGATACCACAATCACCATCACACTTATGATGGCGATGATGCGAGCTCCTGACGATGACTCCGGGTGCTCGAACAGCATCCAGAGTTTCCTTTGAATGGCATTCTTTGGCAGAAGTCTTTCTTCCTCCTTTGGGAAACCTTCGTCTGCTTTAAACCGGTCGATGACATCCTCCCCCAGCTCGTAAAACAGTAGTTCATCCATGAAGATGTCCAGAGGTATGTTGGTGGGCCTTCGCAGCCTTCCACCAGACTGATAAAAGTACAAAATAGCGTCAAAGCACGCTCGGTTTCGGTCGAGGAAGAGTTCATTTCGCAAAGGGTCAAAATATCGTGACCTCCGTCTGGGATCGCCGAGCAACGAGTCAGGGAACTGTGCTAATGTGCGAATCTGAGTCTCATAGCGCATCCCTGAGACATTGATTGCGAGTCTCTCACTTAGAGCCCACCCACTCCTCCACAATGTTCCCGATCTCCTGCAATCTTTTCTTCTCTCCTTGTCATTCTCTTGGAGCTCAATTACTCCCTTTTCTTCACAGTTGAGCTGCTCTTTCAACTGTTTGTCTTTCTCTCCGTCGCAGTCTTTCCTCTCCAATCCTCTTTCATCATCGCTGCTTTCCATCACTGTTGGCCCCAAATCCTACCCAACAGCAAGTCTTTCGGCCAAGGTAATTTTAAGATCGAAAAGCCGTGCCTGAAACGACAGTTGTTTTATTAGTGTACGAACGTTCATGTTGTTGTCTTTTTACTTCTTCTTATTGAGCGTGGTTTGAACAACAACAAAATAATGCCTTGAACTTATCCAAACACCAAACTAAAACCCCAGCTTTCTTTTTACTTTTATGCTTTCAAACCCTGTGACCCAGGAACACATGCAAGAATCGTGATCAAAATATAGAGGAGCTCTACAGAGGTGTTGTTTTACTCACTTAGTAGACAGAGTTCAAGGCCAGGTTGAGAAATTACATTGTTTGTGACTTGCAGCGCTTCAGGTTGCTTGGCTGTCCATCTGTCATCTTGCTTTCACTTGTTTTTTCCAGTTGTCCAAACACTGAGGTATGGTCTTCCTTTGCCAATTGGGTTAAAGTCTCACAAAGCCGGGTACTAAATTTGCCACCAGTTGATTTCCCAGGGAACATACAGAAGTTTGCTCCTAACTTTGCTGCCCCACGTTGGCTGCCTTGAATTTTTTTTTTTTTTTGGGAATGCTGTCCTGTTGAAATTTAATCTCAGCAGGACCTCATGCACAAACCCCTCCCGGCACTTTCCCTCTCAGCTTCTATGGAGCGAGACAAGCTTCAGCCTCCCTCTCAAATGTCATCTTTGCTCCGTGTTGGTGCTGCCCTCTCTAATAAGTCTTGTGCATTGGCATATGACTGAAGCATCGCCGCTGTTTAAATGACTGGGAATGTAGACTAAGCATATTGGCTCATTTGTGGTGTGTGAATGGGAAACTATTTCATGAAGATTAATAGATCCTTTATTCGTCCCACAGCGGAGAAATGTCAGTGTTATGCAAGTAATATATAGTTGTATATATACATCTGTACAACTAAAGTGACAGTAAAGTGATAATAGTTGTTGTAGTATTTGCTTTAAAGTTGTTAGTCCAAAACTTTAATTCATGTTATCTTGCTTGATTGAATGAGTAGAAATATTGAACGGTAAGAATACATTTTAAAATATTTTGTTTCCATCTGAAGTTATAGTTCTTTTTTTTTTGAAGACCTGGCCACACAGCATGCATCTGTGCAATAGTGTGCATTAATGTCAGAATGTGCATTATGGGACCACATGTGTCCACTGTCACTTTTGGCCCAGTGCCTCATTTGTTATTATACTGTAGATCCATGGTTATATCCTACAAAGCTAATGACTTATTACTTCAATATTCTTGAACTAGTGTGAATTACAGATTTATACATGCACATTTATATTTATTTGCACTTTATTTTACAGGGGTATACCTTAATATTTGTATACTTTTAATACTTTGTTTCTTTAGTAGATAGATAGATACTTTATTGATTAGGGAGAAATTCAGGCTAAAGAAAGAGATCTTTTTTATTGGATGTTTTAAACACTTAATATTCACTTATCTTGTGCTGTGTGCTCCTCCTTCGCACTGTTCTTTAACTTGTGATGTAACACTGACATTTCCCCACAGTGGGGTGAATAAAGAATCTCCTCATCTCATCATTTTAATCCAGTGTTTTTACAGAACCCGCTGTATGCACACTTCCCCATTCACAAAAACAAATACAAAGTTAGATTGGTGTAAGGTTTGATCCAGCATCACTTTATTTAGACGTGCTATAGTTAAACGGTCCCATTGCTGATTCAAAACTATTATTACACGATTATAAATGGACTGCTTGGTTATATTAACATTGAGCTTAATTTAGATCAGGGGTCGCTAATCTTTTCATTTGGAGAGCTAGACGGAGAGCTTCCCCCTTTAGACAGCAGATAAAATGTTGTGCTACAATGGATTAAGTAGCTTTTATCTTGATATCTTGATCTTAAAAGAATGGAACACCCAGCTTAAGTCTTTTTCCCAGCACAGATTTAGCAAATGTATTTCGTGGGCTATTGGAAAATCTTGTTTTAAAACCGTCAAAATGTTTGTCAATTTAGCCAAAACTGGGCTATTGATATTTATTAATACTTTTTTGCCACTTTTGTTGTGTAGTGTTGTGCCCATAAAATAATCGGACATTATCATTCCTATATTTACTCGATGATACGTTGGAGATCCATAATTTAGATCATTGTTGAATTGTGCATACCGTTCCCTGAGCAGTTTCACATGCGCAGTCATTGCGATGATCCACCACCAGGGGGAGTGAACTTTTTGACACACTGCAGATAAAACTGACAAAGCCTCAACCGACATTTCCTTCGCGGTTTTTATCTCATCTCTTGCACTGCTGCAATTATGAATTCACATACACGAGAATATATCCCAGTGTTAATGTGTGCCACTGCTTTATAGCCTCTTTGCATAAGCCTCAGGTGAGAAAGTAAACACATTCCACTGCAGTATTACAGACACATGTTAGAGGCATGTTAGAGTCTCTGTGATGCCTTTACAAATACAGCTATGAGATGATCATGATGCATCGTGCTGCAAATGTCTCTATAGGTGATTTTGGGGGTGATTTTGTGCAGCAATCATGAGATATGACTCCCAAGAGAGGGCAGTCTGTTTCATTACCATCCTGAACACCTCGAGATTGTTGGCAGCCATAAGTCGAGAAATATGAATCACCCTCATATTATAGTCCTGTTCCATCTGCTCCCCTCTGGAATGTATGAGTAACACAAGCTAATTTGTTAACATGTTGGATTATCTAACTCAGTTTTTTTAAGGCTTGGATCATTCTTCTGTCTAATTAATCGATTACTAAGTTCAGATCAGTGAATATGGAATTTTTAAAATACATTTCTCCAAAACAAAGCTGCCGTGTTGCCGTTGAGAACATTTTCATCGAGACTCGTTACGCTTTGAGTTCAATAAAGGTTGAACAAAAATACTGCAGTCATTATAGAAGTATTGGCAATAAAATATCCTCTCACATGTTTGTGTCTATGTAGGAAAAGAGCAATTCATCATTTTTTAGACTCATTAACTATTTTTTTCACTTCACAGTCCGGCAGTTATTGTTATTTGTTATTATTCTTATGTGAAACATGAGCTCTTTTTCCACAGAAACAAAAATTTTATCGTCTACAGTTGTCATGTTTAGGTATATACTGTGTATGAATATACTTATCTATGTGTATATGAATACAGAAGGGGCCAGCATTAAGGCAAACCAATAACACTAGAACTCCCAGAGCAGTCAATTTGACGGCTTTTAGTTTTGTACATGTAATTAATTACTCTGTTTATTGTGGACTTAATAACTTTGTAACTTTTTCTGCTTCTCTAAATAGTTTAATTTTTATGTTGTTATTATCATGACATTATTTGTTATTTGTAAAATGTAGCCATTTTAGGTTGCTTGGTAACCAACATTATAGGCCATTTTCCATGGTGCAGGTCTTGGTCTGGTCTTGGTCTGGTCCTGAGCCGAGTCAGCTTGGATCCTGGGAGTCCTGGTGTTAAATGAAGTTGCATTTTTATTATTGTTTCCCAATGTCACCGACCTTTATTGGAACAGCTGCGGTTCCACAAATACTTCACTGCAGTTATGTGATATTGCAGTAACGTGAGTCTTATTTCACTAAGTCTTATTATTTATTGTTATTTATTATTAGTATGCACCTTCGAGCACAGATCTGTTCAGAAATACTAGCATTCGTTGCTTGCGTTAAGTTCCATGTTAATGAACTGATGTCTGGCAAAATGAAAAAACAAAGAATATATCACAGTAATGTAACTTTTTCATTTATTTTTTTCAACGTTCATTTCAATGATTTTAAGCAATTTTAAGGTCTCTGAAAAAGCATCTCACAATTGTTAATCAGTGTTTCATTCAAGCTGCTATGGAGATTGGTTCACATTAGATCGCATTGACATTCATACATTTTAAGTCTCTGTAGAAATCTGTTCAATTATGACACGTTATTGATATGTTTCTATTTTATCTTCAAAATATAAAAAGATAAATCATGAACATTCCATTGAAATATACTTTATACAGTTCTAAGATTGTACTTTATGTTGTCTGACATAAAAAAAAATCTGGCTGAGAGTACATCTAGATACTCCTGTGACCACCTCCTCCTCCTTTACTGTCCTACTTAGATAGACGTACAATGGACTAGTTCCTAAGTCTTTTCTATATCCTGGGCAGTAAAATTAATCTTTGGAATGGCTACGGAAGGTGAATACTATGTGCACTACTAGAGACATGTTGTATTATATATCACATACAGTAGTAAAATCTATTTAGAATAATAGCATTTCTCTCTAAAACAATTCTGCTCTTATCACTTCTTAAAATAAAGTACATTTTGATTGCTAAATTACTCTATGGAAAGCCATAAAGCCGCTAAACGTTTTCGACTGATGACAAAGCGTCTGTGTCTCAGGGAGCATACAGTGAGTGTCGATCAGTGGCATTGTGGTGCAGATTGCATACAGTGTCCGCTCGAACAAAATAAAAACACAACATAAAGAAGCATTTAAATAAAATGGATTTGGAAAAAGCATTATCCCAGGGCAGTGTAACATTTGAGACAATTGGCATGCCGTCATGTTGCATTGGCAGTATTTAACATGTAAAGCATTGCTTCTTTTGGTTATGTAACATTAGAACATTAGAACACAGATTAGTCATGTGCTGCTATTACAGACTTAGCAATCCGAACAACTCCTTCTAATCACAACCTGACAAAATTAGGCAGCATAACGCAGTTAAGACTTTTCCCTCACAATGTGGAAAAATGATCAAATGAATTGTAAACATTGAAAACAGTGGTGACAAAAATACCTCTGTGAGTGTGCACTGTGCAATAACAGATTAGAATGAAAAAAAAAACAGACAAAAACAAACTCAAAAGTGACTTACTGAAAACCCCTCACACCATGTTCGTAAAATGTTCAAGTTTTACCCTAAACCCTGTCGTACCAATTTAGTGTAACAGTGATCTGCGTGATCTATGTCAGCGATC